TCTTCCTCTTCCTCTTCCTCTTCATTTTCCTTTGCTTTTTCATTTTTTCTTGCATAAATACCTTCAAATTCGGGTTTCTACCTACACATTAAAAATAACTAGATGATAAATCGCTAATGAAACTCACAAATATCTATGTTTAATGATCTGAATAAGTGCCAAAAACCCGCACTCATCAGTTGTCATGCACCATCGCTGCCTTGTTCGACTGAGATGACTTTGAGGAATCGATCCAGTCAAATTTCTTCACCGTCGGCAATTCAATCTGTAGTGAAGGCTTCCTCTCAATCAAATTTTTCGCCTTGGGTAATGTGAGGTCTATAATTGGAGTGTTCATTGATTTTGACCCAAATCTACGGATTCTAGGCTTGGAAAGTTGTATTTTCGCTTGATTAAAAAAATGGGGGCGGTAAATTTTGATTGTGTACAAGACCATGAATAAGTGTGTCTTGATGAGTATAGTCAACCGATATTATGGAAAGGGCATGGGTCTCGTCGAAGAAGGTGATTTTGGCCATCAATTCTAGCCAAATCTGGTGGCATGAGGGCTGGTGCTGGGGTGGTATGTGTAGAGGGGAGTGAGCGCTATCCAGTTATATGGAATTTGGCCGATTTCGATGGTGGTTGGTCGAAGTTTTTTGTGTTTTTTGTTCAAGCAATCGATCATGAGATCTTTTTAAATTGTTGTAATAGTACGGTGGGGGTGGTTTTGAGGCGATGGTTTTGTTGGATATTGTTGGTGATAGTGGAAAGGGTTTTATTAAATCTGGTGGTGGTGGTCTTGGTCATCGTGCTTGTGTTGGTCGCAATGCTGTTAGGTTATATAGGTGGTGGTGTGGTACGGTGCGGTGCCAATGCTTCCATTGCTAGTAGTACGGGTGGTTTTGGTGAGGTGGTATACGTTTGGTTATTGGTGTTGGGAATGGTGGTAAGTGACCAAATCTATCTTCATTGTAATTGCCCAGGACCAAATTTTTGTTAATACTAATATGGCCACAGACAATCACACCAAAGACAAATTTGGTCATGAACATATAAGGTCACAATTCGTACGTTATGGGTCACAATTCGTTGTTAAGGTCACAGTTCAGAGTTCACAAGTCGCAGTTATTTCATTTAAGTAACAAATCAATATAAATGGGTCACAAATCAATATTAACACGTTATATGTTGATTTGTAGAAATCACGGATCAAATTTATAGGTCACACTTTATATTACGAGTCTTAGGTAACAAATTATACGTTAAAAATCATATTTTATATGTCACAATGTACACAAATCACAGGTTATTGCCCAAAAAAAAGAAAAAAAAATTGTGAATTTAATATATTTAATTACAAAAATATGTTTTTGATGAATTATTTCATAACTAAAATTTTAATAGTATTTGATTTTTGAAATTTCAGACTTTATTTCTTAGTTTTGAAATTGATTATATGCATATTTATCCCACCTAATTAGGTTACAGATTTAATAGAACTGGTCAAATATCACAATGTGCATAGGTCACAAATCTAATGGAACTAGTCATAGGTCATTGCCAAAAAAGAAAAAAGGTAGTTGTTGAAAATGTGAGCAATCACCGGAATAGTCATCAGAACGATCGTCGGGAGGTCGCCCGAATATTCATCGAAGAGGTCACTAGACCGGTCTCCAGAATTGTTGCCAGAGCCATCACAAGAGAAGTCGCTCAGAGATGGGGTCGGGTCAACGGAGCAGTCACCGGAGGTTGCATGGGGTAGAGAGAGAAAGGGTTTGATGTGTTGGGTGTGTGGGTTGGAGGTAGGGTGGGGTAAGTAGATTAATTGTTTATACTATATTATAATTAAATATTTAATAAATTTAATTATCACTTGATTTTTAAATTTGTTTTAGAAGTTTGTTAGTTTTGAAATCTAATTTTTAAATGGAGGATTTATGTGGTCTCTTTTATCATTTAAATCTTTTTTATCTTTATTATACGCGGGTAGTTGGCATGTATGAATGTGGGATTAATAATCTAAATGGTCACTGAACTTTGCAAAAACATTTCACTAGACTATTGAACTTTAAAAATCACCAAAGTCGTCATTGAACTTTGCAAAAAAATTTACATATGATCATTAAATTTCAAAAATCACTCTATTTATCACTAAACTTGTCAAAAGATTTTTACGGGATCACTAAACTTTGCAAAAATTTTCTTAGGAGTCATCGAACTCAGTGACCTCTGAGAAAGTTTTTGCGAAGTTCAATGATGAATGAGATAATTTTTAAAGTTCGGTGATCCCGTGAAAACTTTTTTCAAAGTTCAATGACCCTGTGAAAACATTTTTCAAAGTTCAGTGATAACTTGGTGATTTTTAAAGTTTAGTGATCCGGTGAAATTTTTTTGTAAAGTTTGATGTCCATTTTGGTTATTAACTCATGAATGTGTGGACAACATTACCAAAGACAACCTATGGTCCAGTTTGTGACAAATTGGACTCGTTAGTGTGCTTGGCCACGGGAAATAATACGCGACATTATAGGACACATAAACTAGTATAAGCAGATGTCATGTTACATGGCATTACTTGCTTAAAAAATAAAATAATAATAATAAATTACTTTCTTATTTCTATACTATGTTACTATTTTTCTCTCTTTTTAAGTAAAATACATTACTTATTTTAAAAACAATTATTATCTCAGTCTCTGAATTTGATAACTAGCTAGTTTTCAATTTTAGCCAACAAAAAAATAATTAAAAACTTTTTTTTTTATTTTTTACTTACAAGTAAACCTTTAAGCTTAACCACGTATGTTAGAATCTTGACCTAGGGAGATTGTTCACATCACAATATGACCACCACCAAAATAGAGAATGATATTTCACTGCAATAATCTTTGAAATGAACAAACTAAAGATAAATTATCATCGAAAATTCAGAGGAAAAGAAGAACACTGTACAAAATTACACGTAAATCTTAAACAAAACGAAACTCTTAACAGGATACGAGTTGAAGGAACAAAGATTATATCACATAAAAATTCAGTAAATAAACTATACAACATTAATGGCTGTTGTGAGCTCACTTGAACACAACGCGGCTTTCATCATTCTTTGACCCTCAATCGGTAGAATGCATATCAGTCTGCACGCCAGAGATGGTGGCCGCCCATGGCTTATGATGGCAATATTTTCCGAGCACCAAAGATAGATAGCTTGTTATACCTTGTTACCTACATGGACTATTTAAGTGAGCAAATAAGCAAATGCATACACAACTATTTATGTTGGTACATTTTGATATGAGACTTACCAGAAACTTGCCCTTGAGAAGTCAAAGATCTTCATATATCATCTCCTGCGACATCAAGAACCAAATATAAACGTTTAATTTAAGGATAAACATCAGATACAAAATAAAGATAGCAGCAAGTTAACTATTCACTTCACCGATTAATATTAGGGAAAATTGCATTACTGGTCCCCAACCTTGCTCCAGTTGCAAGTTACTCCTCAATCTTTCTGTGAAGGCACAGAAACGGTCCTCAAAGGCAGAAACCTTCTAAATCTTTGTTAAATTGTCATGTGACCCTCACATGTCCAACTTTGTGAAGCTAGATTTTGTTTACCGACTTTGGGTCAATGCCTAAAATTTGAAGTGTTGAATTTTTTATGAGGGCCATGTAACAATTTAAAAGAGATTTTGATGCTCTATCCTTGAGAGCAACTATAATTGAAGGTTGGGACCAACTTTCTACTTGAGGACAAGGTGTTGGAGATCATCCACCAAATTCAACTTCCCTACTACACACCCCCGTGATTTAGATCCCTACTCCTCTCCCCCAACTCCTTGGGGCAAAGTTTCCAACATATTTTTATAATAAAAAATAAAAAATAAAAAATTCAACATCTTATCAAAGAAAATATAAATTAAAGCGCTAAGCAAACCTGATCGCATAAGGGGCAGTTGTCACTTCTTTCCATCCATTCAAGTATGCATGAAAGGTGAAAATGATGGTTACACTTGGTCATGATTTTTGGATTTTCTGCATCATACTCTGCATACGAAAGATGTAGAGAAAACATTTTATACTGACAGCAAATGAGACCTACTTCTCGTACCTACGGCATGCTGATAAAACATGGAAGTAAACAGGTTATCCACTGTGGCTAAGCTTACAAATTTTACCTTTTAAGAACAATAACTAGTGTTAAAATAAATAATTTTTTGAAGAAATATGTAAGTTACTGTTTATATTAAAATAGTTACTTTAAACATATGTAACTTTTATCTTTTTTAAGCTCAGCCGAACATGCTCTTTACAGCCTTGGCCCAGACCTTCAAGACAAGTGGGACAAGAATCCTC